ATCGCATTTTAGAAGCGTAACTTTAGTTTTAAATGTTGCCTCTTAAATGTGAATGTTAGTTGTTTTGAACCGTTGATCTTAATCAAGATCAACTGTGGTCGTCTGGGTATAAATCATTAACCCAATGTTACCCTAATTGATTTTCTTTGGCAGCCCTCTAGAATTCTTTATATCTTCTCTTTCGTCGTTTCCGTAATCTTCAACCTCAGTCTTGCGCTTTCTTTGTGAAATAAAAGAGTGTGAGTGATTTTTTTTTTAAAGAAGAGATGCAAGCTACTCAATGGTGTCAACAAGTTGAGCAGAGCAGGCTCGCAACTCTAATCTCGGGGCCAGTAAAAAGAGGCTCGAGCTTTTTGGACTTGAGTTGAACTCGGGCTGGCTCGTCCCAAAAAGGGCTTTGGGCCAAGCGGAGCCGCCTCACGGGCTTTTTTTTACTTGAATAAAGAAAAATTGATCATTAATTTACAAACTACAAAATTAATTATGCAAATTGTTGATTTACAAACTAAATAAAACTAATTATGCAAGTGGTTTAAAGAGCAAGTAACATACCCCTTATTTCGAGCTTGGGACCAACTACATTCAATGTAGGCTAAGTTAAAATTGTATACGAAAAAATATTACTTGTACAATTATTTAAAAAAAATAAAGTAGAAAATTATTCGATTAAATCAAGAAACTAAAGACAGTATAGAAAATTATGCAATTAACTAGCCTGCAAAAGCAGATACAAAAAGGCGGACCACGAGAGCCCAAATGTGATCTGGCCCATATTTGGGGTCGTGCAACTAGCAAGCTGGCTCGGGCTCAAACCGAATGTTATATTTTAGGCTTGGTCAGAACCTTGGCTTTGTACAAACGAGCTCAAAGTCTACTCCACTCGGACTTTTTCCAAGTTGAGCCATGAACTGTCTGAACCGACAGGCTCATTTGCTACCACCAGGCAAGTTGTACGTAGGTTGAATTCTTACGGTCCACTCGGACTTTACATTTGTTTATAAACACTTGTTAAATATATTAGATTCGTGTGAGGTTCACCAAGGGGCGATGCTTAACCTAGATGACACTTGGATGAAGTTCGGAGCGATGCTACCATAGGAACAAGGCTAGAGGATCAAGTTGCCTCGCTTTTATCAGGCAAATTGCATGAGAAGCAAGTTAGACTTTTGTTGTGAGCCTGACATTCGTCTATGCGGTTTTCTTTTCTGTTTAACCACTTGATCTAAAAATTTGAACTCTTAGATAAACAAAATATGTATATCATTTATATTATATCTTTAACATAGCTTCTCGTGTGTAAGCCAGATTTATTTTCCACCAGTGCACAATTTATAACTAGATGGAAGCGAGACTTGAACTCAGAACCATTATCTACCCTGATAATATATTGAAGTACTTGATCTAAAAGTTTAAATTATTTTATAAGATCACATTTATATAATTTAAATATTATTTTCATCAAATTCGTAGGTGAGGAATTTATGCCCTCCATGCAAATGATAGTTATAACAAGTTTGAACTTTTAAATAAAGGGAAATTAACAAAATGCACTATCCAGAAAGGGTCTAGTTACACTTTATATACTGTATTTTATACTTTTTGTTAGAAAAATTACAAATACAATATATATAGTTAAATAACACAAATACCCTTAACTAAAATGATAAATCACACCCAACTTATTACATTATGTAACGTTTTGCATACTAAATATAAAATTATTGATTTTTCATTTAATTTTTTTTCTTGTCATCCTTTGTTTCATTTTTTGTATAAGATTTATAAAATTTATTATATTCTTTTCCTAAATTCTTAAATCAATAAAAAATTAATTTTAGTAACTTAATAAAATATTCAAATTTATTAAATACTCCACTTGACTATTCCAACGTTATAAAAGCAAATAAATATTTTAATTGCTATAGTCTAATAAACGAATTTTATTCAATGAATAAAAAAATAAAAATAATCAATTAAAATAATTGTTTTTTTTTAAATAATAAATTAACTTTTATCACAAATACCCTTTAACTTTTATCAACTTTTCAATCTCACAACTCAACAATTTTCAGTAAATTTTACTAAAAATCTGATTTTTAGTAATTGTAGACATTCTTATATTAGTCTTGATTAAGTTTTAATTATACTTACTTTTCATTGGTAATTGTAGACATTCTGCTCATCAAATTGTCAACCACTTCGAAGAGTGATTCTTTCGCCGTAGTCATTGCCGTTGATTCCGGTTTTTGACCATTAATTTCTAAATGAGAAAATTTGCTGAAAAATATGTTTGATATTAGAACAATAAAAATGCATCGTTTTGAAGAAAAAAAGTTCGAAATATTATGTATTAAATGTGCAGAAATATAATTAGAGTTTCAACAAGCTATTTTTAGCACTTCCAAAGGGTTAATTTTCGTTAATCTAAAAGAGCGAGCGAGCGAGTTATGAAGATCGTTAGCTCCTATAGTCTACCTGGTAAAGAGCTTACCAACCGGTATTGATGATAAAAGTAGTGATTGACACTACGCCTTTGTGGCCCGGCGAGTTTATAAGTCTCGGTGTTTAGCCTCCCACTCCTTGTACAAAATGATAAGAGTCGATCTAGAGACCACCTTTTTTGGGTCAACTTTCGCCTAACTTTCAAGTAGTGGCTGCCAATTTCGTTAATACTGATCAATTTCCTCATTTCAATCCATACATCTATGTATGCATGTTTGGTACTTGTCCAAACGAATAATCAAAAGGTCAAACGAATCAGAACTATTAAAAAAAAAGACTATTAAAGATATGGGTAATCAATGGTTCGATTCGATTCAACAAAAAAATAATTAATTAATGGTTCTGATTCATAGAACTGAGAATCATTTGGTTCTGGTTCGATTTTAGTTCTAGAACTAAGAACCAAACTCAAACTCAATATTAAAATTTTATTATTTTTTATAAATTGTTTTTTACAAATTAGTGAATTGCAATCCAAACAAAAATTTCAAAATTCACCTCCTGTTTGTTTTCCATTTTCTCTCCATTTTTAGAAAAAATACTACCGTTGCAGGGCCCCACTTGTCGGAATGGTTGACTTTCATCTCACATTATTCTTGAAGTTGGTGCTCCAATGATCACAAAATTCATATTTTACAACTAAAAAATGGGCAGCAAACAGATGTTCAATTGAAAATTAGGACAAAAAAGGTCATGTAAATTCGATTTGTCATTGTGGAGATTGGAAACCCTAATTCATTTCTCATTTTCTATCATTTTTAATTTATACACCGACTCTAACATGGAGACCAACAGTTGTCGCATGTCGTCTACTGTCGAGGTTAGCTACCACCATTGCATGGATTTCTGAAATTGAAGTCTCAACGTTCGATTCTTCTTCCTCAAATGTTCCCTCTCTCTCTCTTTTTTTTTCTCAATCAACAATAGAATTAGAACCAAACCAAACTAAATCAAACCATAACTGAATGGTTCGATTCCAATTTGGTTACATATCTTAAAAAAAATCATCTAGTTTCATTATATAAAAAAAATTATTGGTTCATGGTTCGGTTCTCTCGGAACCAGAATCGAATGGAACCATGTCCACCTCTAATTAAAAGTATAGAGATGGTGAGCTCATTTATCATTAACCAATATAAAGTGGCTTTGAACAAGTGCAATGGAGGCATATACACACTTAAAATTCAAGATTTCTATATCTGTGTGTGAAAAGTTTTTAGAAGTTAAAAACTAGTGGTTTATGTAAAATAAAGATTAAAATTAAATATTTTGAAGTTCAGTTATAACTTATATTATTATACTGTTAAAAGATACCCATTTTCAACTAGAAAGCACTTTATTTAATTAAATTCTAAATTCAAATGGTATTCGAACATTCGTAAAATAGATTATTTTTCGTGATCTTAGGACAAATATTTAATTCTACTAACTCTAGAATACACGTGCCTTTCATTATTGTCACACTGACCCAGCTTCGAAAAATAAAAATGCCCACCTGGCCAATTATTATTACCTTATGAGATAAGATATTACAATCAATTTTATGATTTTGGTATCCAATGGAAATCTGAATTCTTACCATAAATACTCATAGGTTTTTTGGTCAAGTGGGAGATGTCGTACATGATTGAGGCAAATTATAAACGAATAAAAGGGCATTGATTGGAGTCAAATAAACAAGACCTTGGAACTTATTACATGTTACATTACATATATGTGTGCATGTAATAAATTAAATTTTATTATAAATAAACTAGGAGTTGATTATTCGAATTCTTTTTAATATTCGTCTTTCTTAGGAAAAGATTTAATGCATGAATGTAATCGTTCTTAACCATGTCATGTTACGATAATTTTAGTCTCTGAGTTGATTCTTGTGAACGAGATTTTCTTTGAGTTTTTGTGTCCCAGTTTGGTTTAGTTAAAAATCATTTTTCATAGATTTCGATAAAAGCTGGTGAAAATGTGTAATTTTGAAGTTGATAAAATTTGAGAATTTTATAAAAATATGTAATTGAAAATTAAGTTTTAGAAAAATAGGACCAAACAAAGGTACAATATATGTCTCATTCCATGCCATGTCTATTTATCAAAGTACTTTTCTTATTTAGTCAAGTACGATATTAATATTCTCATTTCCACAACGTATCTCATTAAATTATTCTATGCTTCTTTTTGTTGGAGATTAAAATTAATTTTTTAGTAAATTTTGATAAAAGCTGATGGAATGTGTGGTTGAAAAGTCGTGGGAATAATGAAATATGTAGTTAATATTGATTTTTTGATTTGGATTAAAATCAAATTTTAATCAATACCAAACGGGGGCTAGGCCATATGAAGCAAAAAAACAAGAACCCTAACAAGAAAAAAAAAAGGAAAGAACGAAAGGAAAGCTTAGATCTATTCATTATACGATCATAATTAGCTTTCCTGAAAAAAATTGCGCTAAAAATGAGTTTTTATAGTTACTCCTGTAGCCTAAAAAATGAGTTCACTCACTAGTAGTTGTTGGAATCCCATAAATATGGATCCTCGGGCGACTCGAATCCGATGTGATCGGATCCCTCTAACTGCCATGACAAGGCATAGTAAGTACGATATCCACCATTGTGTTCTGCACCGTCCATTGAAAGATCTGGCAGATCATAAAACGTGTCATCATCAACAGATTCTTGAAAGTGTTCCTGTAGTAAATTTGTTGATGAATGAGAATCGGGTAGCTGGGCTTTGCTCAGTCGTGCTTCAGCTTCTGCACCACCGCGAATTGGGGCGGCAGCCGCCTTTGCGGCCGCAGCTTGGATGTCTTTCGGTGATGCTGAGGCGGGCCGGGGAAGTTCATGAGCCAAATATGGGAAGTTAAGATATGCTGAGTGACCTCTGATAGCTAAAGCTGCTACATCATGTGCTCGGGCGGCCATTTCTGGGGTTGGATATGTTCCAAGCCATATTCTTGATTTCTTCTTAGGTTGTCGAATTTCGGACACCCATTTGCCCCAACTACGCTTGCGTACACCGCGATAAGTTGGATGCTTGTTGTCATTGGCTTTGCCACTTTTTTCTCCTTGAACATTTTTTGAGCTCTTGTGAGCATTGCCCTCATTTAGAGTACCGTTTGTAATTCGATAGGAAGATGTCGACCAGGAGTTCGAGGAGGAGGAGGAGGTGGTGGATCTGGTCATCGAGGAAGAAGTCGTTGAAAACGATGTGGAAGAGAACGTGGACGAGATGGTGGTGGAGGAGTCTTGAGCTAGACTCTCGAAGTTGAATTGTTCTTCCATGGTATGTCTTGTGGCTGATAGAAAAGAATAACGATGCACATAATTATAAAATAGGGAATTAAGTTGGGGTTTATAAGATTCTTCCATAAGTAGGGATTAATTTAAAAAATGAAAAAGAAAAAGAAAAGAAACATGAAACATGAAACATTAGAAAAAGGAGAGTACAGTTACAGCTATGTTAATCAAGTTGCACTTCTATATAATTAATGTGTGTCCCATATGCTTTCCAAGCATCTTTCAAACATGTATAGCTATTTGTCCATTGCTTGGTCAGTTTTTCCTAGTAATCATGTTAGTATATCTTGTAATTTTGCAATAATAATGCACGAGTGAAAGGACAATATATGTAACGTTTGACTAAGTAGGCACCCGATTACGTATATAGACCAACTATATTCTAATACGACAATGTTTCATTATATAGTATCTTTTGAACCATGCTTAGATTATGATTTTGGTGCAATTTCTTGCCAAAGGACTTTGTAGGGTTATCAATATCATTTCCCATTAGTTTTTAGAATTCTTGGGCTATTTTTTTGGATATTTTCTCAAGAATCATGCTACATTGTCAGATGTCTTACATAATTCTTAATATAATATCACATGACATTTTATTATTGAATTGTTTTAAATAGAGTCATCATTTTCATCAAATCATATGTTTCCACATCGGATTATGTCACTACATCTATTAAATTTCTTCTGACAAAATTACAATCATTTTTTCAAACCATAAGTGAACTTGAAAGTGAATTCATGAATTAAAATATTTTAATTTTGTTACACATGTGTCACATGAAAGTGGACCCGAACATGTTCAAAAATGGGTCCCGCCCAAGATTTTGCTGACGCAAATTGATATATGAACAATAATTTATTTTAAGGTTCTATAATTTAATCTTTTTTATTTCCTAGTCATTGCAATAATTAGGCGACGACGGTGATTGATACTCTTTTTCTCAAAACCTTTACACTTTAGCAGGCTTTCCGTTTGAGTCACACTATTTTTTTCATTCTCATTCTTCTACTCATTTTTAATCACAAATTTTTCAATAAAATAATATTTATCATCACATCAATAACTCTTCCTTCTTTTTCAACCACATATTCTTCATCACATCAACAGTAAAAATGCATTTTTTTTTTCAAAAATGTACACCAAACAGGGGCTAAAAATGCCATATTTTTCAAACATATTAATTTTTTAAAAATCTTGCCCCCAAAAAGTCAAAAGATCGGGGGTCGAACTAAGGTCTAATCACTAGTAAAAATATAAAAGAAAAATTCTTTTCAAGCTTAGCATGGAAGAAATCATTAATCACTACCGGTGAGTCTGGCAAGATGGATTAAAATGTTGTCCCATCGCACTGATTCGAAATCAATAATCTGATAGTAAATAAAAGTGCCCAGAAGCTTTAAGCAGGCAGATTACATGCACCCAAAACATGAAAAACAATGTAAAAATTCTCTGTCTAAACCCAGAACCTGCAAAACCTCGATGGAACTTCTATCATTTCCTAATGTAATTTTTGGCCTCTACAAATCGTCTAGAGATACAAACATATGTAAACATTGCCCACTAGGACCAGTAACTGGTTCAAATGCAACCACGGCTTGCAAGAATCTGTCAGGAAACAAAGAATATGATTGACTATCGGTGTGACACGTATGTCTAGTACAGTAGATCGCTATCGGGCAACATTGTCTCCATCCTATCTTCTTTATTAAAGCCTTGCTTACGGGTGGTTACGACGAATGCAATGGACAATGAACAATTAAGAAAGAAGAGAGAAAGGAGAAGAGACGAGAGAACTAAGAGGGAGATTGTAGATTTATTCAATACTAATGGTTTGTTTATTACAATCAACGAACCTCTTTAGAGAGTCTAAAACTAGGGTTAATATGGAAAAACAATAATAATGGTCTTAAAATCGAAAAAAAAAACACAATAATAATCAATAAGGAAATTCTATAAAATCCTAATTGATTTTATTTCTTCTGCGTCTATAATATACTTTCCATTTTGCCTCAACGGGTTTAACATCATTAGCCTGAAAACTTGCCGCACATTCTGGGCACTTGAGCTGACACGTTTCTATAACTCTCTGTACGCAAGGATTGCAAAACAGGTGGTAGCATTTGGCAATAAACACCTAACCCAAAAAAAAAAAGGCACTGGTTATCTCCTCAAGAACTATAGACTGCGCAAGCCAACTATGAAAGCAAAAGTAAAGTTTCTTATTCGTGAAGAATACAGCAAACGCATTTTCATATATAAAGAAAACTATCACCATTCACCATATTCCAGTATTCCACCATCATTACTGGTCCTGTATTCTGTCATCTCATAATTTCGCCATTTCCCTCATGCATCACATTTATAATCTTTCAAGTTCTTTGTAGCATATTAGCATTATTAATATTTAAGTTTCCCTTAAAGTTGTAAATGTTTTGCTACTTCACAAGGATCCCTGTTTCCAAATGGATATGCAAGTTAGTCATACATATACCTCTTTACTTCTATCAAGGCAAATACTGCACTTCAGTATTTCTTTGTATTCTGTGAGTTCCTGCTGGAGCTTTTCAGTTAGGGATGAAACCTTGGAATGCAACTTCAATCTTTTTGTTTTCCTTCTCAGAGTTCCTACATCTTCCTCTATTCTTTTCTTCTCAAACCTAGTAAGGAGAAATGTTTTAAAAACAAGAAAGGATAGGAAAGACGTCGCATAAACTGGAAAAGAGAAACAGAGAAATTTCAACCACCTCTCTTTCTCCAATTCTATCTGCAGCTCAGCAACGCTTGCTATACTTCTGTCAAACTTTGATTGTGATTCTTCAAATGTGTCCCTCAGTTGCTGAGATGACTTCCTCACATATAACACTCTTTTTTGGGTATTCTCTAAAGTAGCTGTTCTTCGAGCCCTATTTTCAGAAAGTTTCCCAATTCGGCCTGAGTAGGATTTCAACTGCGATAAAAAGAATACCAATATGATATTGACCGGACACAACATTTGGCACTACAGAAAAGACACACCTCAATATTACCTGATATTCAATTCTAGCAGCTTTAGTGTCATAAAATCTAACAGTTGCCTTGTTTTGACGAATTACTCTTTCCAAGTTACGCTTCTTCGTCAATAGGGCATCTCTCATCTGTGTTGCTCGCACTCCCTCTAAAACAAGCTGAAACAGGAGGTAAAGCAACCTGATGACACTCGCAAAATAAACCCCAATGAAAGCAAAAATACTTGTGCAGCTTTTACAGTATAGAAACTGGAAAAACAAACGCAAGAATCCTTGACAAGACAACATGCTTGTCTCCTGTGTTCTTGTTTCAGAACAAGAAGGGAACTTGTATGTTACAGAAACATCATTACTACAAAGTTTAACATTATGGAAGTGGGAAAGTAAAAACTTCTTAGGACGATCATTGTCCAGTTTCACCTTATTTAGCAACTGAACAAGCTCAACTGCTGCAATACATTTGGTATAAATCTGATTCTTTTGTCCAAATAAGAAAAAGATAATAATATTACGTAGGAGGAAGCAATGGAGAATTTTACTGCAAATGGCAGCTAAGATAGACCTCCCAAATGTGTACATATATGCTTCACTAAAGCTGCCAAAACATTTTCAGGGATGACTAAAGTTTGATTTTCAGACTCAATGTCAATATCAAACAGTTGACAAGGTAAATCTGGTGAAAGTAATAAATTGAAAAGTGTGAAATTAAACAAGCATAGATTTCTTGATCAAAGAGCAAAAGAACACAATTATCGTAACTGAAAAGGCGAAACCCTCCTGTGAGCCAATGATATAAACATAATTTCAACATTTTTTACTGACTTCATTATCAAATAGAGACATCGTGTCAATAAGTAGGTAAAGTTGGACGAATTAATTTAATTTCCAAAAGAACTTGATGTTAAGGAAATGCTATTAAGTACTTTCGTAATTAATCACCTTCATGTCGTACTCATCTCTCTCTGTGATTTGCTGCAAAAACTGGAGGTTTTGAGACTGTATATCATCATAGGCCTGTCCAATACTCTTTAGAAAAAGGCCAATAAAGTTAGCAAAACTAAGTAATGCAATAAAAGGATATCCATCAATACAAATCATGGTAGAATAGAAACCTCTATCTCAGAAAGATAGACCTCAGTGTCTTCATGTTTGTATTTTAGGTCATCCAAAAATCTGTATTTTTCCCTGAAACAACGGTGTGAACAATATCTCAGAAAATTCAGAAAGCAACATAATACAAGTTGAGCTTCTTATGGAAGTTTTTCAAAATTCAAATTTTGCTTGTTTACGTCAACCTCAGATTATGTAAAATGAGGGAGAAGAAGGCCAACATCTTAGATCCACAACGGTCAATACCAGAACTCAAATCTCAAAGCATATAACTACCTCATTGAAGGGGCAAAATAGCTTTCGGTCTTAATTTAGTTTCAGTTGATAGAAACTAAAAAAAAGAAAAAATATTATGGAAGAAGCTAAGCAAATACCAGCAAGATGTAGAACAAACCTTTTAGAGGCCTCTAACTTCCGTCTCAGGTAGGCAATCTCAGCTTCTGCTGCAGCTAACCTTTGCCGGGATTTCGCCTCAGCTTCAATTGAGGCTTTAAGTCGTGACTCCAAATTGTGTTCATCAAGAGAAGTATTCAGGCTCCGAACATAAGCCCATGCCTTAATCTCCCCATTTCTAGCTTCATCCACTTCCCTGCAATCAACATACCCAGGTTATGAAGTGGAAACAATGGCTATTCTATTAGAACAGTATTGAATTTGTCCAAATTTAACATTTTCCAGAATTACAGGCTACATGCATTGGACGAACTATATTGGTATAAACAGGAATAGATAGAAAGACAAAGATCTGCAGTATAAATAAGTTAAGCAGTGATAAAATCAATAAATACATGAAAATGATAAGACTGTGGAACTCAAGTTTATAATATGTGCGGAGAAATAACCAGATTTTTTCAAGAGGAAACAAAATTATGAAGAAGCCAATTGGATCCAACATAAGTGACTTGAATGAAATCTAAAGAAGAAATCCCCAAGAAACACTAACCTTGAATCAGTTGATTCACATCTGTACATTTCCCTAAAAAGCTTCAAGTCTGAAATAGTTTCCTTTATACCACAGACCTGTACCAAGAAAATTGAAATTACAGAAGCTTAAGAAAGTCTACTATATTTGAAACCAACCCAAGAAATTTATGGTTTTTGTTCAGAAAGCAGGACTATGCAATACAGATAGCGATAGCTACAATTCTTGTCTCGTGAAAGCTCAACTCATCCATAAAATGTTAAAAGAGAATATGTCAGTTCAGGCCATTGAACTTCTCCTGATCTTACAGTATTGTCAGATTGTACATACGGCTGTTCTACGTGTTAGCACTATCTTGGATAGGTATTATTGGAAAGTTATAACAGGTATACCAATTAGGAAGCTCAGTTGCTTTGTTAAAAATAATTCGACGTGAATTTCCACCATAATTGTTATACTGGTATGGCTAATCGAGCTAAGGCTCGTAGCCTCATAGACTCTTTCTTTCATTCATCAAGCACATGGCAGTTTGTTTCGGAGCCAGGATAAACAAGTAGTGGGGATAGGAAAAAGATTATTCCCTTTGCACCTCATGTCAAGAGAAGATTAGTATATCAGATGGACGACAATATAATAACAGACATTTCTTCACACATATATAATTAAGGGAAAAACTCGTACCACAGCTTGCAACTTCTGTATTTCGGCATTTTGTTCCGCTGAACTCAAGGAAAAAGCTTCCAATTCCATTGCCTGCAGATATTTAACAGAAGGTTTTGACCAGCATAAGCAGCAATTGGAAACAAAAGAAATAAGAAAAGAAAACTGCAAGCAAAAGAAATCCCACCTTACGATCGAGAATGTTGGCAAGAGATTTTACATCAGCTCGCAAACTATGAACATCTGAAGCATCCTCTTTGTATTTACTAAACTGATTTTGCATGCTACCCATTTTCTCGGAAAACGAAGAAATTAAACCTTTGAACTCCGTAATGATTTCTTTCCTACCTGAAATTGGAAGAGACATGAAACTTGTAGACAGTACCAATAAAGACACATGTCCCATGAGGGAATCATCTGAATCTTCATACCAGGTTCTTTAGGCACTTCTTCCATCTTTCTTTCGATTAGATTTTTTTGTTTGATGCACTTTTCTATATCTGCCTCTAGGTCCTTAATTCTAGAATCAGCAACAGCTGAAGCTTGATGAAAAAAATCAACTAATTCTTTTCTAATATGAATATCTTCTTCCCTCCAGGCAAGATTGCCTTTCTCAACCTGAATTTACACAGATGAGTGAGCACTATAACAAAATTTTCTTCACAAAAAAATGGCATCAAAAATAAAATGATCAACCAGTTACAACCTGTAGTTTCTCATAAAGAGCATGATATTGAACTACATATGCATTAGACTTTGCAAGTTGATCTTTCAGCATGAGATATGGTCGGGACGAACATATTCGCTTCACATCCTTCAGATTGTGCTATCAAGAAAAAATCCAATTTCAAAAGATGAGTAACAGGGAAAGAATAATTACAGAAGGGGACAGCATCGCACAACAACAAAAGAGACATTCCGAAGCACAAAACAGAAAATCAAGAACGAAAGAACTAACTTGCAATATTAATAATTGCCTCAATATGTCTATCCGATAATCATGAAGACGCTTGAGTTCTTGTAATCGAGCAGAGGAGTCATCCTGCACAGATAACCTAGTCCATTATCTAAGCTACAGTGCAATTGACTATAGACTCCATAAAACATAATGCAAGTGATTACCACCAACTCCTTCAGTGTGGAATCCATGCCTTGAAATTTTTTTGTTTATCTCTAGCTTTATCAGTGGTGGCCTGGAAATACCCGATTTGGAACAGGCAAAAATTACCCCTTTCCCCCTGCTCTTTCGGCTTTTAAAATTGCCAACTTGCAGTTACTTTCTTCCAATCCAGCAGCAGTAGTCTCCAACTCTCCTGTAATATTTGACAACCAAAATGATGTGGATAAAAGAAGTATAGTTGAACACATCACATGGGACATTTTGGACACTATAAGTAAACCTCACTATATAAATGACAGGATAACATGCAAATTTCTAGAAGACATCTACATGAAAATTTGAAAATTGTATAATTTTTTTTTTTTCAAACTACATAAAATAACCTGCTTCCAGAAAGATAATATAAAAACTGGTTAATATCATGCATGGACTTGATGAGAACAATCATCCACATTTTGTATGATTAACATGGAGGCACCAGCCACATTTTCTGCACCTTTTAGAAATTTTAGTAACAATGCAGCCTTCATGCCTAACCCCACCAGGCAGTTATTTTCCAAAATTATGGAAGAATCATAGTTAAATATGATCCTCCAACTAGTACATGCATGAATAATAGGGATATAACTCTTCAATCCATTCTGCAGTAAGTAATTTCTCATCACGTGAAAAGTAATCCCAGTATTCTATCTCAGTTCAACTTTTTCTTGACATAAAAAAAAAAACAGAGAATGTACAAAGTGCAGAGCATGTATATAGAAGTACAGGAAAAGAATACACCTGACAGAGGCAAATAGTTACTTGAAAACATTAGAAATGCAAAACACAATGAAGCTACCTAAGACATTATTAACTGAAAAAATATCAAGAAGCTTTATTCGAACATTTTAATCACCTAGCTTCAAAAGCCACCAAATCAAGCTAATTCTTGTTTCTGAAGTAAGTTTACTCTAAAAGTTCTGTTATGCATGTAATTTTAAAAGGGATAGTGATTGAACTTAAGAATGATCTTTGTTATATAATGTTACACCAACTTGATACCTTGCATACATATCACAAATTCACCATGAGCTTCATAAACACTCCATTTATACCACCAACATCATGATTGTAGCATACATGCTTAAGCACGCATATATTCGAAAGCAAATATATGCAAGCAATCAACTTTTAAATTAGTTTATACACACAATTAGTTGATACGGACAAGTACATTAAACAAATCGTACTTGAATACACCTAAATTATTACATTATTCTGAAAATGTTAATCTTCCACAGACATGAATTCATAAGTTACTCGCTGCTGCTTCAATTTCATGATAACTCCAAACTAATCCTACGTAAACCCGTAGCAACACAAGAAATGCCATTTACATTTTTAATAGGTTCAAAGCATAACGATGATTATCACACCCGTGATTGATGCAATATACTCGTCAACATAATGTGAGACCCGAGATTCAGTTTAGTTGTGCGCTTAAGCCAACTATAGCTTAAAAGACGAGAGACATTAGTCAAGAACAATACGGAAAATTGACATGAATATTATTGAATACTGCATAACAAAGTACCCATAGTTAAGTACCTCTCAAATATTTAATATCAGCTCGCTCTTTGCATCAATGTCTCAATGGCTCTTTAATTCACCAGCCAGCGATTTGTGCTTCAAACAAGACTACCAACTGCCAGTCTCAGAATATTAACCTTTGATTTCAAATCACAGGGCCCAATATGTTGGCTCGATCCTAGAGGAAGAAAGAGAACATAGAAAATGAGCAACCAAGAAAGGTGAGTAAGCAACAAAAAGAGTGAATGGGTAACATCGATAAGAAATGTGGTGATCCACTCTATTATCTCCCACCGTGTTCCTTTTATGTTCTTACCATCAGATGAAAGAACCTTGAAAAGACGCAATATTCAATCTATCCTCTAAATCACATAGATCATAGGAGGAGTTAATATGTAACACAATGTACCTCGAGACTTTTCCGCGTCAATAAGACTATCTTCTTCAATTTGACTTGCAGCGGTACCAGCTGAGCTACTTTCAGTTGCACCTGTTTCTAAGAGCTGGCTTAAAAACATAGTTCTGGAGGTGAATAGCCATCTAAACAAGCAATTAATAGATCTCGATTAGTTAACACAATCTTCATGTACTTCAGTTCATCCATTAATATAGGAAAATTAGGCTTGACAAATGCAGAAGAGGCATTTGATTCATTACTGACTGTAAGATTGATTAGGTAGTTTTAATAATAACCAAAGAATCAAATCAGTAATGGTGCTTCCACTAAATAAATATTACTAGAGAAGATAGCTAAGAGAAAAAATATATAAAAGACGAATCGAAAATGTATAAGATTGGTACATACGTAAACTTGTTTGGATGTGCACAAGGGATAAAGAAACATTCATAGTTCCAGGTACGGCTTTCATTTTGTATTAGTCCATCTATCAGGTATACTAGATTCAGCTTAGATGTATAACTAAGCCATTAGTCACAGAAGGTATCGAGTAAAAAATGGTAAAATCAGCATTTAGTTTTCTCGAAGACTATTGCAGCCACCAAAATAAGTGTTCAGTAACACATATCTCAAAACAATATTGAAAAGGAAATAAAGGAATCTAATCTGCGTAGTTACTGGATGGGGGTGTAAAGCTTCCAAGTTTACTGATCACGTTCCTTCCTTGATCTAAAAGCACAGGTCCATATTGGCACACGAACATTTAATATAAAGATTGAGCATACACATACTCTACTCAATAATTAAGTATAGACGAGACAACAGTGAAAAAACAGCTAAACATACATGCATTCAGATGCACAGACAAGATAGAAAAGAAGAGTATGCTAGAGAAACTGTAAGAATCTCAAATTCGTAAAGTAATCAGAATCTGCCATGGATTTCCTAGCCCAAAGAGGCAATTTTAGCCATCAAAACAAACTAAACATGAAGAGGAGGAGAAGAATTAGGCCTTGTCCATCATCTCAATCCAAACCTAGTTCAAGCAGGCTACACTTCCAAAACCTAAAAATCCCTAGAAAGTATCGACGGTGAGCATTTTCTGTATCTGTCTAAGACGTCTACCTTTTGTAATTGTGGCCGACCAATATAAATCATAAGATTCCAAATGCCAATCAGCTATAAGTCAGCACTGACAGGAAATTAGCTGTACTATGCCAATCAGGTAAATACACGTAGGATATAATAATCACAGGTGGACATTTTTCAAAATGGAAATGAGTCATTACTCGATAGCGAACTACCATTTCTTTGATTACAGATAAGTAAAATCATATCAACGGTCCCCAACCTATTGCTCAAGTACCAAGTTGTTCGCCAACATTAAAAAAAGTAGCAAATTAGTCCTGAACCTTTTATCATCAATCAATATTCAACGAAACACACAGTCCAAATCTGTGGTAAATTGCCACACGACCCTCAGGCGTCCAACTTTATTAAGCTAAATACTCAAGTGAAGCCTATTTTCAGCCACATTACAATTTACTGATGGTTTGAATACTTTTTATTGTTGTGATTGATTGTGCACTATAATGAAAGGTCGAGGTCAAACTTGCTCCTTATTAAAGATTGAGCCAACTTGCTACTCGGATAATATATTGGGGACAAATGCTGCAATTTTTCCTCAGATTTAATAACCCCACCTAATCCTGTATTGTGTGTTTTAATGGATTCTGGGTGGCTATCAGTGAAGGGAGGAAAAATCTAGTTTAGGTCAGGTGTTCCTTACCTTCTTTGACAATTTGATGTTCAAAACCTATCCCATGTCTCGACAAGTCCTCTGTGTAATTAGAACATGATTCCAAATCATCAACCAGAGAGCCAACATTACAGTCACTAAGTTGAACATACAGCTTGAGAAAATTGCATATTAGACATGAAAGAAAAAACAGAAAAAAATAATTAATAAAATAAACAAAGAAGCATCAAAGTACAATACCTCTCCCCAAGAGTTATTAACCACAGCCAAAGTCTTCTCATATTACTGTTGTTTCTCCCTCAATCGACACATTTTATTATCTCGAGCACTAATCTCAATCTTCTGAGCTTCTAACTTCAGAAAAAGCATTTGATTTTGGAATTGAAGCACTGCTGCATTCAGCTGCACCATTAAGAATTTTAAACTTTAAGGTAATGCCATAAGAGTACAAGATTTCATATGGAGAAGTGCAAGCTCAGCCTGTATTTTAGTTATATGTCCACATAGGAAACACTAAAGACTACAATCAAGTGGCCAAAACAAAAGTAAGTTTACAGCTAAAAAACTACAAAATTGTTTTACTTAAACATACTCCTACCCTATCGGAGCCAAATCATTCATCTCCTAGTTAACTATCATAAAATGACTACCAAAATGAATTCATGCACACTGAAGCAAGGAAGTAAGAAAGGAAAATGAATATAGGATTGTAATTAATCATTTAATAGAGAAAATTTCATTGAGAGAATTATATCCATGCTATCAAAGATAAGTACCGTGCAGGAAAATGTAAATAGGCAGGAGCTAGACAAACAAAAAGGCCAAAGCCCTTTTTGCAATAACATAAATCATTTGATAATTAAGCCGTCATTTGTTTTAATAAGCAAACAAAAAAGTCAAAAATGAAAGGTCATATCATTCAATCTGCTAGCTCAGTATCAGTATCTGCACATACTTCCTTTCTGTTTAAGGACCTCAAAAGTGATACCAATAAACAATTTAAGAAAAACAATTACTTAGCTAATGGCATCAACCATGACTCAAAAAGGTAAGAATATAAAATCTTAATGTTCAAAAAGATATGCAGGCGCATATCACTTACATACTAGACAAGGAGATGAAACGAAGGCATGAACCTTTCATTTGTAGGAGGGAAGATTTTCTGATAAAAGTTAAGCTACACCAACAGTAGCGGGATAGTAAAGAGTCCATGGGGCTCAAAGAATCATATGATAGGTAAATATGGTTAAGAAAGTCATACATTATAGGAACACGACCAAATAAGCACGGGCACACAACACGCATATGACACTACACAGACACGTCATCATGTGATTTTTGAGAAAAAAAAGTAGGACATGGACGCGTCAAGGACGTGTTAATTTAAATTCTTTAAAATTCTACATTTATGTAGTATATTTTTAGTTTAAATAAAATCAACAATATTTCAGTTTTGGTTTTTGTTGTTGAAATCTTTTAAATAAAATCAGCTATCTGTTATATTAAAACTAAAACTGCCAAAAAAAGGAAAATGACTATAGCAATGTTTTTGAGGAGTGTTGATGCCTGACATGATACTACTCATGTCGACCACGAACACATCATCCTAGTAGTAGTGCCGTGCTTCATAGAAGAGAACATTCTTAGAAACTTCTAAACCATCCTCGAGAACTTTGAAGCATCTTTAGTATCAGTCAAGTTAATAAGACCACCATGCAGTAGCAGATGGAGAATTCTTCTCAAGCATTTCGGGTGCAAATTCTTTTCATTGAGATGAGAGTTTGTAAAACAAAAAAGATAGCGGTAATAAAATATATCAACCGAAGCCCTTCATCTAAAGGTATACATTTCAACATAACAGATAATGGGCCAGACATGATCCACACGAGCCTTGAAACATAATAGTGCAAATTCTTCTCATAGAGATGAAAGTTTATAAAACAAAAAAGATTGAGGTGATAAAATATATCAACTGAAGCTCATTGTCAAAAGGTATAAAAAAGCATTTCCATGATCAATGTAACAGACAATGGGCCTGAGATGATCGACACAAGCCTTGAAGCAGCAGAGCGAATGACCAAGCTCAATAAGGTATTAACAGCGAACTTGAGAACTGCTCGGGTCAAGCATGAAGAGAAAATTAAATATCGACCATAGTCAGATCATCACAAAGGACAGCAGAAAGTTAACATACCAAACATCGTTTTCATCACATGCGATTCTGATGAGCATAAGGAAAAAGGAAAATGGGGGATGCAAACGTTTAAAATAATTCCCCAATATACCTTGTCCTCCAGAGGCTCAAAATGCAAGCTATGGAACTGTCATCAACCATCTTTGTTTCCTTTTTCTAACTCGCAAATTTAAACTATTGTGGGGACATAATGTATCCCTTGGGAGCAGTATTTAACTTTTCAATAGTATCTAGCTACCTCAAGGCTAATAAATGTTTCTCTTCAATCATAAACTTACCTCTTGAGACCCCAAAGAGAGAAGCAGAACCGTTAATTTTGACTTTAAATCTTGTGGAAACAGGAAATTTATCGCTTGCCAACATATCTTAAAACACAGACCGGTCCTTGTAAAATACCCAAAAGTTTTCAGTAGAAAAACCGATCTTTGTGTACTTTTAGCAGTTGCATCGCTTGCATGAGCTTAAAACAGCATAACTCAAACTCAGCTTGTTTCCAAAATGAGATTTTGTAAAAATTGAATTTTCTTGGATTAGGATAGTAGCCTTGCAAGAACATCCTAATGCCAACAATCAAGGGACCTCGTCAGCTTTATAATCTTCAGCTTGTATCAAACAAAATTATCATACACCACTACAAACTAAGCTGAGTTTCCAATTGAAGAACTCATCTCCTTGTCTTTCCCAGACAAAAGGTTGCAACAGAAGTTGAAACCAGCACATCCAAATTTTTGAAAAAAATCCAGTAAATCCAGTGAAGCTGATATATTAACTATGAGAGGTAGCATCCAAATGGTTGGATAATCTAATGTCAACCAGGTAGCTTTAAAGTGTGACAACTTTGTCATGAGGTTCAGTGGACACCAGCATTCATTAATTGTACTTTCCATCTCTATTCTTGGCCATCACGGATATAACAGATACCCAGAGAAATGTAGGGGAAAGCACCAGGTTCCAACAAACCATGAGATTTTATCGCATTCCTAAAATGTTCTCAGTGCTAGCCATAAATCTCTTCCAATTTCTAAAACAATCCACTTTCAAACTCAAGAAAACATTTCTTCTCTACAACAGTAATTTATCAGTAACTTCCGTAATTCACGAGAAGAAGTTCAAAATCTTGATAAATTGAGAAAAATTAAATAAAAACTTCACCTTTTTATCCTCATCTATTCGCATAGAAGAGGGTTTATTCATAGTGGCGGCAGTGGGTGATATAGAGCTAACATGACGCCGTTTCCTGTCCGCTTCACCCGTACTCGCCATTAAGAAAACACTCTAAACCGCTAAAACTATCAATTTTCTCTTAAATTCACATGGAAAATTTAGGTGAGTTGTCGTCAAACCCAAAACTCAACACTCATACTGTCATACACACAAAAATTGGGTACCACAAAATTAAATTCAAATGTTTACACACTTGCGAACCCTAATTCAAGTGACAGAGAATTTTATTTTCCATTTTTACTGGAATTAAACCTTTTGATTTTGACATAGTTTATGGGTTCTTTTCTTTGGCTAAACTGAAGTCGAAAAAAACACTCAGTGGAGACTCAGTGTATTTGACGTGAAATAAGTATAAATAGCCTTTCAAAACAATCATATTTCACCAATTCAAACATTAAAAACTACCCAAAATACCCCAAACATAGAATTTATAACTAAGTTATCATAATATGAATAAGTTTTCCTTTAAGTCCTTAAAATATTTAAATTTAAATATTACTTTTGCCCGATAATGAATAGATGTACAATAAAAAAATCTAGAGGTCCCAAAGGACCATATAAAACTAAGAAGTTTATAAAGGAAAAAAGGAAAGATAACATAGAAAAAGAATTCAATGAAAATATAACTAAAAGAGAATATACAAATCAATTATATGCATCTCAGGAAGTTTTAAAATGTTTTAAGAATAAATATATCTGAAAATTTTATAAAATGACCAGTCAGAACCTTAATAATGGATGATATTCAAGATCTTATAGAAAAAATAGAAAAAAGAGGATGATAACAAATCATAAGACACTTATACAGTTATATGATGATATAACTATAGATTTAGATATTATAAACTGCCATACTTTTATAGACTTTGAAAAAATTATAAGAGAATATGAACTTTTTTTTTATTTTTGTTCGCTTTAAGTTGCAGCCCCATTTGGTATCAGAGCTATAGAGATCTCCTGCTGAACACATTATTACCATTGGATATGTTGGAAGAGATTTCCAACTTGAAGTTGGAAAAGAAAATAGACATTTACCAAAGATTACAAGATCATGGATTAAATCCCGAAGAGTTTTGGGAATGAAGGTCCTTTACAATATGAAAAAAAATTATATGAAAAGAAGTTTAGATTTTTATGCCAATATGAAGGTTGGACCTTACTTACAAACAATGGAAAAGAAAAATCTGGAATTGTAAAAGAATACATTGAGAAATTTGATACTCATCAAATCAATGGATGTGCAACAATACAAGAAGCATGCAGGATAAGAGAATGCCCCACATACCGACAAATTTGAAAAATTTCAAGAGAAAGAAGACAGCTGCATGTGAAGACAATATCAACCGGACAATAATAGAGATAAAGGGGAAATAAATGTGACATAAAGGGAAGATGTGATATAAAGAAGAGAATTGTTTACAATAATAGAGAGGCAAGTGCGCATTTGATGTAAAAAGAGAAATTATTAATATTTGTGATGTAAGCAATGATGTAAGAAGCTAAATTATTAAGCTTCATATGATTGTATAAATAGAAGCCTTCGGCCTAGAGGTAAGGCAAATTTTTTGAGCACTCAGATTATGAGATAGCTAAACTTTCATGTCTTGATCTGAAATCAATTTCAAAGTATCAATAAAAATTCCAATTCCTTATAGATATGAGTTTCTAAAGTTAATTTCCATTGATTCTTGACAAATCTGAGAAGAAAAGTTCTTTCTTATTTTAGCAATTAAGAGAGTTTTTCTTTAACAAAAGTCTAGAGATTTGTCTTTAGAAGTGATACAGTGAGAGCAAAAAGCTGAAATAGCAAAAATCCCGTGAAGGCAAGAGGCCGTTGAAGGGTGTAGTTTGTAAATTCAGAGCTTGAGGTCACTCAATTCTAAGAATAAGAATCCAGACCAAAACTAAGGTAAAACCATTGTTTGTTGTTAAAATTAGAACGAATTTTTTTTAAGATTTTAAAAGAATCGCAGTGATAATTTATGATGTCTTATTATGATGTTTTATTATGATGTTGTTCATAACTTGATATTTAAAGATGCCAAAATATACAGTTGAAGTATTATATAAAATTTTGGGATAAATGTTAGAAAAAAATAAATAATATTGATTTACTACTAGAAAATATGGATATATTATCTGAAGAATATGATAATCTTAGAAAAGAAAATGATAAGTATAATACAGATTATTCTAATTTATTATATCATAGAATGAATCTATATATTATAATTTGAAATAGGAGAAATAAAAGATAAAATTATTTTTTAAAACTATTTTAAAAGATAGGGATATATTATGCAATTTATAAGAATTTATTTCATCAAGGGTAATATAGATTTTTCTATAAAATTTTTAAAAGGCATAATTGACCAAGCCAAATGCAAAAATCTCCCATTTTGTTGCTATATTTGTTCAAGACTTCTGCAGTTTTGAAATAATTAATTTTGAAGAGGGGAAATAGAAGTTTTGGCAAAGTGAAGAAGAGAAAGAGAAGCGCGGAAGGGGAGATGGGAGTGGATTATTACAAGATTTTGCAGGTGGATAAAAGTGCGAAAGATGACGACTTGAAGAAGGCTTATAGAAAGCTCGCCATGAAATGGCACCCTGACAAGAATCCCAATGATAAGAAAGAAGCGAAAGCCAAATTCAAGCAGATTTCTAAAGCTTATGATGTAAGTTTTTTTTTTTTTTTCAGAACTTATTAATTGATGTGGGTTTGATGTGAGCCGATTTTATGATTAGGGTTTTGGTCTATGTTCTTGGATTATCTGTTTAGATTTTAAAAAAAAAATTAATCTTTTATGTATTGGTGATGGATATGATTCAAAAATCATATCTTTTTAGTTTGGCTCATAATATTCAAGGCATTGGAATTGTGTTATGATTACGAGGACGAAGTACAAGTAAACTGATTATTGTTTTTCTACCAGGTGCTAAGTGATCCTCAGAAGAGAGCTATATATGATCAGTACGGTGAACATTGGTTGAAGGGGCAGGCGTAAGTATTATATATATAATTAATGCATATTTATGGCAATATCTATTATTTAATTGAATTAATATTCTAATAAATTAAATAATAGAATCTGTAGATTAAAGTCTTGATGATTTGTTAATCACAAAGAGTTGTAATTGTGAGATACAAATTACTTATGACTGAATCTTAAATCAACTGTGGTCGAAGTAATAACAAGACACATATATCGTTATTACGAATAGACCATAACGTGTGTCATTCTTACTTATGAAGTAAGTAGCTGCTCTCACAAGCTAAAGTGTGGTGATACTTGAATGAACACGTTGATGTATAACAAAACATTGGAGACCTGCTAAGAGATTCCACATGGATAACTATTTGAGTGTCAGTGGTTAATTTCTAACGTTTGGAGGAGTCTACGGAATAGATTGGGCACTAATTTGCTTTACAGTAGTGCTTACCACCCGGAAACAGACGGACGAACTGAGGTTGTCAACTGCACATTGGGAAATTTGCTTCAAAGTTTAGCGCCCAAGAGGCCAAAGCAATGTCATACCGTCCTTTCTAGAGCTGAATTTGCTTATAATTCTATGGTACATTGCTCTACAGGAAAAAGTCTATTTGAAATTGTTTATGGGCGTAATCCTAATCGTTATCTTGACCTTGCTAAAATTCCAACATCTAGCAAGACGGCTGATGATTTCACAACAACTATGGCAAGGATTCAAGAAGAAGTAAAAAAGAAGCTTCAACAAAGTAATAAGTCTTACAAAGATACTGCAGATGCCCATCGAAGAATCCAAGTTTTGAAAGAAAATGATCTTGTGGGGTGTATTTAAAGAAGGAAAGGTTTGTTGTTGGTACATACAACAAGCTTAAAGAGAAGAAGATTGGTCCTTATCGAATTTTGAAAAAGATAAACCACAACGCATACAAGGTTGAGCTCCCAGCAAACATAAACACTCATCCCACATTCAATGTTCGTGATTTAATCCCTTACCATGGAGAGAATGTTCTGAACTCCGGGATGAGTTTTTTTCCACCTGGGGCGAATGATGTAGTGCTGGAAATTCGTGGAATTGAGCAGTGTCCAGTGTTTTCATCATAACTTTCTCTAGAAATTTCCTATTCATGCATGGTTGGTGGCATTGGAAACTAGATTTATCTTTTCAACATATTATTATTCATGGTCAGATTCAAAGTAATTTAGGAGTTATGAAGGTTCAAAGTGACGCCTTGGGACTGGGAAGTTGAAGGGTTTCTAGTTTTTAATTTTATGCATCCATTCATGTATTTAGATACATTATGTTAGCCTATAAATAACTTGTATGAAGAGAGAAAGGGCAGACTTGAATATTTATTCATTTTCATTACTAATTGAATTGGAGAATAGAAGTTATCTATTTCTCTTTGGTTCCCAACTTTGTGAAGTCGAATTTGGCATATCTACTAAAATTTCATTTTCCATTACTTTCCTTGCCTACATTAAGTGGATACATATGTAAACCTTATAAGACATCTAGCTTCGCACTAGAGTATAATATATTTGTTTACAAGTAGTTAATAAAAATCGAACCATCAATCTAGGTTAGTGATAGCAACCCGTGACACCGCCTAGGCATTGATTTTTATTATTAATTTTTTCAATTTTTTGGTATTAAATAAAAAAGGGTTTTCGATGTTGAATTAAAATTATGGTCTCTTTTCAATTTTACGTTTATGGTAATGAATTAATTCATATGATGTTTCATATTAATGTACGTGTCGTTAGAAATGGATCTTTTGACATGATATCAAGATTTATATATAATGGATTACACATAATGCCACATGACATTTTGTCATTTGCTAGTTTAAAATACAATCAAATTTCCATCCAATATTTTCCCTCCACACATTAGGTACATTTTTTATGTACAAGTATCAAAATCCGTTAGAAATTATGACGTTATTAGTTCCATCAAGATTAGTGAGATGTAACAATAATATTTAGTGAGAAGAATAAAAATCACAAAAAGGTACAAGTATGAAATACAAGAATTCTAGGGATGGCAAAAAA